ACTGATAGAATAGTCATCCTAATGAGTGTGAAGTGCTCATTAGCATTTGATTATGTATAAGTAAGGATACAATATATGCACATTGTATATAAAACTTTTTAAGTAAAACTTTTGAAACTATGAAGCAGTCACTGCCCTAAGCACTTTACATGCCTTAACTCACGTGGTGCACACGGTAGCCCCCTGAAGCAGGTGCTATTATGATCCCTGATTTGTGGATGAAAGAGCAGGTACATAGAATTAGCACTTGCCTAAGGTCAAGCCGCTGGTATGTGGTGATGTGCATTCAGCAGTCTGGTTTCAGAATTCTTGCTCTTGCCAAAAGATGCTCAGACACCTTCTGTTCTAGGAGTTTCTAACCATCTTGGTGACTTCTTCTGCACTAGATTTCGCACTCCATTACTTCTCTTCCTCATAGTCCTTCCATTCCCTAAAATCAGTCAAGGCTGGGTGCTGCTGCAATATTTCCTATTGTGGCGTGTGGTATGAGGAGGAAGAACAATGATTTCTGGTTATAACAGAACCCTGAAAACATGCCCTTGAGAAAAAAAGTTAGGAACTTCGAAATCCTTTACAGTGAAGGAGAAAAAAATTCAATCATTTAAAAATGAAAATTACTCCCATAATGTATTTCAGCCAAATAATTAAAGTGTACTCATATTAATTATACTTCAAGATTCTCCTTGCCCTGCTTTGCAGGGTTCTCTTTTTTCCCCAGGGTTAAGTGAGGACAAGCTTTTTGAGGTAGAACTGAATTCCATTTCAAGAAAAGTCTCACAAGATTAGGCAAAGATTCCCATCCAAAAGAGTTGCCCAGCCAAGCAATTAAGTCACTTTCAGAAGTTACGAACTTCCATTTTTCAGCTGACCTTTGTGGAAGACAGAGCCACAGTTACACCTCACAGTCTTGATGTTTTTAAAGATCAAACTCCCTCCAGGAAAAAATGTATCCAGCACTTGAAACTTGGAAACTGTACTAAGCTAAGTCCCTCTCTTTACAATTGCTGCAAATGTTCTCACATCCTGTTGACCCTATCTTTCAAAACTAAGGCCTGGATAATTTCATCGAAGCCATTGGCTTTGCCCTTGATCAGCTTCCTAGGATAATTGTCTCCACCTACTGCAATGCGTGTCGAAAATGTGAACTACTAGGAGAAGGTTTAGTAGGGCATGTCATACCTCAACTAGTTCCAAAGAATTTTAAATCAGAGAGGGATCACAAAGACCATCAAATCATGCTCCTTAGCTTTACAGATGAGGAAGTGGAGCTCAGAGGGGTCTTGGGAAGACACTGAAGGATTTTAAAGAAGAATGGGCTGGGCCAACAAGGTTTTCCTGTCGAACTCATTTATTAAATCTGTGGGTGATACAAAGCAAAGAATTGGAGAGCAGTTATTGGTTGGGACAATGGGCCCAAGCCAGCATGATGAGCTGCAACAAACAGTAATGATAAAGCAAAGCTTCTAGCTGCAGAATCAGCAAGTGTCCCTCTAATAGCTTGAGGATATGGGGCAGGGGAGATTTGGCTGACTCCAATCCCTGTATGAGCCTGCAGAGACAGGGGCCAGCCAAATGTTTAAAAACCTAATTAAATTCTAATAATGGCACAATCATGTTGTGTTTGTATATGGATCAAGTCTGAAAGGACACATAAAATTGTTCATCATAGTTATCTTTGGGCAGTGGAACTCAGAGGAAAAGAAAGCTACACTTTGTACTTTGTACATAGTGTATTGCATGACCAGTTTTAAGAGAGCATTCAGTAAATTTTGTAATATGCAAATCATAGAAACACTTCTTAATTAGAGTGAGGCTGAAAGAGAGTGTCCAGAGAAAGAACAGGAATGTTCTAGATAGATTGTATGGGATGTCTACTGTTTAGCGTTGGGCATCAAAGGGGTCTCAAAAGGTTAGAATACTGTATGCAGGAGGAGAGAGAGATCAAGATGGCAGAGGAGGCTGTGTATCTGGTCACAGAGGGGATTACTGAGCTAATTTAGCTAACTTCAAACTTCTGAAACTCAGTGTGTGAAATGGGGAGTTACAGTCTATCTCACTCAGAAGAGCTGGTACATGTTGGAAGGAGGATTTCATAAGATCCTGAGTATAAAGTGCTAAGCCCAATGCCTGGTATACAGTAAGCACTCAATAATAAAAAAAAAAAGATATTATTTTTTCCTAAAGGTTCTGGGTTCAGCAGCTGCAAAAACAACCCTGGATTCGTGTGCAAACTACTCTTGTTGTAACTTCTGCTGGCTGCCCACCATACCACATACATGTGTCTGGTTCCTCAAAGGTCTAAGATGTTGAACACACTCAAACATGTATTTCAACGTTTGGAGCCTTGGATTCCAGGAAAGTGCTTTTACATTCATTATATTTAACATTGCAGTTTTTTGTTAAATCCAGCATCAAATTGACTTGACCCATTTGCATTAAGACCTTTACCAGAGGAGAGCTCTGTGGTTTGTAGTTACTCAAATCCAAATGAAGATCTAAATCTGAAGAAGAAAATCACCTTTTTAAAGAAGCAAACTCCATGAGGAGAGAAAGTAGGCCAAACACCCGCAGGGCAAACTGTTGGAAGGGATCCGCCATTTCTTTTAACTTTTGTTACTTGCTACTGGCCCTAAAATAAATCCATCTGTGCCAACACCTATTACTTCCCCACTTCTAAAGAAGGTTAGCGTTCAAACAATACAAAAGATTCTGGATAAGACCTCGTCGTGATGACTACTTCTCATGGAAAGTTTGACTTCTGGATCTGCATCTTTCTGGCCGTTTGATTTTGCCGCACATACCTCTACGTTTCTGAAGCTCAGTTCTTGTTTTCCAGTTTCTAAAATGGGGAGAATAATGTAACTTTGCCAGCCCCTTAATCTGTGACTCACTTTTCTTTCCAACCTACACAATTGGGGGATAATCAATACCTACCTTAGAGTTCATTGTGAAGACTAAACAAAGAATATATACGTATACATGTACATAAATATTAATTATAACATGCCACATATATATAGTATAAAAATATACTAATTACTAGTGTGTGTGTGTGTGTGTGTATATATATATATATAATATACACTGGTATATACTAACATATATGCTAGTGTATATACATTTGTGTGTGTGTGCATATATTCTTTCTCATTACTTATGGGTTATTGTAAGTACCAGAGGAATTATGGAGTGCAATATATCATGAAAGTATGTTGCAACCTACGCAATATTAAATAACAAGTATGAAGTTCAATAATTAATGAATGTGACATAATGGAAGGGACTTTTATGCAGCAGTTTACTTGCTGAGGTGACCTAGGTGGAAAATTTGCTACACTTGCTTGATGCACTGATTTTCCATTCCTACCTCACGGTACTTTCCTTTAAATATTATTTTGTTCTTATTTCATAAATATTCATGTTGCATAAAATTATAAGATACAGGTAAACAGACATAAAAAAGAGTTAGAAAAATCATTCATAACCCCATTATCTAGATGTAATTTTGGTATATATCTTTCCAGACTTATTTCTATGCATGTATGTAGGTGTGTTTATTTTTTAAATGAAATACATCCTATATTACTGTTCCATAAGCTCTTTTTTTCTTCTTAACAGAATGTCTTGAACATCTTTTGTTGTTAATAAATATGTTTCATATCATTTAAATGTATAATATTGTATAGTATTATAATATTCCATTGTAAAGCTTTACCGTATTTTACTTAATCATGGTGCAGTGGTGAACCATTTGTTTCAAATTGTTTATTATTTATAAACAGAGCTGTGATAAACATATTTAAAACTAAAACTTCAATTACATCAATGGTTATGATTGTAAAAACAAGTTGAAGTAGAATTACTGACACAAAAAAGTACATACCTTTTAACAGCTTTATTGAAGTATAACTTACATGCCATAGATTTCACCAAAAGGGTACAATTCAGTAGTTTTTAATAAATTTATGAAGTTGAACAACCATCACCATAATTTGGTTTTAGAATGTTTCCATCACCTCCAAAATTCTTTCATGTCAATTTTCAGTCAATCTCTACTTTCATCCCAACCCCAGGCAACCACCGATTTGCCTTATAGATGTGTCTTTTCTGGGAATTTCGTATAACTGGAATCATACATATGTAAGTCCTTTGTGTCTGACTGCTTTATTAGAATAATGTTTTTGAAGTTCATTCATCTCGCAACGTGTATCAGTACTTCATTCCTTTTTATTGTCAAATAGTGTTCCATTGTGTGGATACATCATATTTTGTTTATCCATTCATCAGTTGATGGACATTTGAGTTGTTTCAACTTTTTGGCTATTGTGAATACAGGCCGTTGTGTTGATTTAAGCATACATTTCCTTATTTTGGGTAAATACCTAACTGTGGAATTACTGGGTTTAATCGTAAGTTTATTTTTAACTTTATAAGAAACTTCAAACTGTTTTCCAAAGTGGCTGTACCGTTTTACATTAATATAAGCAATTCCTGAAGTTGCTAGTTTCTTTACGTCCTTGCCAACACTTGATATTTCCAGTTTTTTGGATTATAGCCATTTTAGTGGTGTGTAGTCATATCTTGCTATAGTTTTAATTTATATTTTCATAACAATTAATGATGCTGAGCATCTTTTTATATGCTAATATATTAGCCACTTGTGCATCTCCTTTGGTGAAATGTCCATTTAAATACTTTGCCAGTTTTTAAATTGGATTCTTTTGTCTTTTTAAAGTTATAAGTGTTCTTTGTATATTCTGGATACAAGTCCTTTACCAGATATGTGATTTGCAAATATTTTATCTCAGTCTATAGTTGACCTTTTCATAGTCCTAGGTGTCTGTTCTTTTTGATGCTACTGTTAATGGAGTTGTTTTCTTAATTTCATATTCAAATTATTTGCTGCCATTATATAGAAATACAATTGATTCTTTTTAAACCAACATTTAAAAATTGAAGTATCATTGATATACAACTTTATATTGGTTTTAAATGTACAAACAAATATGGAACACTTCACGAATTTGCATGTCATTCTTGCTCAGGGACCATGTTATTCTTCTCTGTAGGGTTCCAATTTTAGTGTATGTGCTGCTGAAGTGAGCGTTCAATTGATTTTTGTATATTGATTTTGTTGCCTGCAACCTTGCTAAAATAATATATTTCTTCTAGTAGGTTTAAAAAAAATAGTGGTAGATTTCGAGGGATTTTCTAGATATAGGGTCTATAAATCTTAAAAATTGAGTAGAATTAACATAACAAAATTAATCGTTTTAGAGTATAAAGTTGGGTAGCATTTAGTACATTCACATTGTTGTGCAACCACCACCCCTATTTACTTCCAAAACATAGCACACCAAAAGAAAACCCCATGCCTATAAACAATCACTCCTCAGTACCCCCTCTAACTGCCAGGTCCTGGCTACTGTCTGCCTTCTGTCTCTATGGATTGACCCATTCTGGATATGTCATATAAATGAAATTATACATCATGGAACCTTTTGTGTCTTTCTTTCACTCAGCATGTTTTCTAGGTTGATCCACATTATAGAATTTTGTCATTTGGGAATAATGCTGCTTCATTTATGTACAAGTATCTCTTTGGGTTCCCATTTTCTTTTGGGTACATACCTAGGAGTGGAATTGATATATGCCATTATGAATTATGTAACAATCAATGTATACTTAATGGTGATTCCATATTTATTTCTTGAGGAACCACCAAACTGCTTTCTACAGCATTGGTACCATTTTAAGTCCTCATCAGCAATGTATGAGGGTTTCAATTTTCCAATCCTTACCAACACTTGTTACTTTCCGGATTTTTTTCTTTCCCTTATTATAACCATCCTATGGGGGGTGAAGTGGTAGCACTTCACATTGTGGTTTTGGTTTGAACTTTCCTAATGAGATCTTGTTTTGTAACTCTGTATCATCTTAGTTATCTCCTTAGTGATTGCTTTATGAATCACAATATGTATTTTAAGTTATCACATCTTAATTGAAGTTATTCCTGACTGAATTTGAGTAAACTATAACAACTTTGCTCCAATTTTATTAGCTCTTATTTGTGCTTTGTCACATATATTACATTGCTATATGTTATAAGCCAGATAATACAATATTATAATGATTGCTTTATACAATCTTATGTCTTTTAAAGGCATTAAAGGAAGAGAAGAGAGAAAATACATTTATCCAGTCTTTTCTATTTACTCACATATTTACCATTTACCTCTTTCTGTTCATTCAGGTTATCATCTGGTATCACTTTCTTTCAGCTGGATAGACTTTCTTATCATTCTCTGTAAGTCAGGCCTCCTAGCAACACACTCCCTTAATCTTTGTTTATCTGCAAATATCATTATTTTCCCTTCATTTTTCAAGGTTAACTTTGCTGGATATAGAATTCTTCTTTGACAGTTTATTCTTTCAGCACTTTGAGTACATCATTCCACTGCCTATTGCCTTCTATCACTTCTGATGAGAAGTTAGCCATAAATCATAAGACTGTTTTCCTGTATGTGATATCAGTTTTCTCTTGATGCTTTCAAGATTTTGATTTTGTTTTTTAGCATTCAATAGTTTGTTATGTGTCTTTGTGCTTATCCTACTTGGGCGTTGTTGAACTCTTCAAACTACAGATTAATGCATATGCAGGCTCCCAGTTAGCCAGGGTTGCACGAGGAGCTCATCTAGCTGTTAGGACTCTCTCATTTCCAGTCTCTTCCTATTAAATTTTTGGCTAGTCCCTCATTATGCCACTCACCCTAATGAGCAATGCAACTTCAAACTATCATAACTGTAGGATTTCCATATTTATTTTCTACCAAGTTTGCTACATTTACTGACAATACATTTAGGCATGGGTTTTCCTCCCCCCATTCCAAGTCAGACCCCCTCCAGTAGCAAAGCTACTGTTACTCAGAGAATGCCCTTGCCTGACAGCACCACTGTGACAGGAGCTAGGTGGAGGATGGAGTAGTTCTGGGCAATAATGCCACAGACTCCTGTTACACACAGTTCAGCGGTTTTTCATGAACAGTTTTCAATTTTATGTCTGCCTTTGATCAATTTCTAGAGCTCTGAAATTATTGATTTTGAACAATTTTGTCCAGTTTTATTTATTTTTATTTTTGGATGGGGGACAGGGGAGAATTTGCCGACCTCTTTTCTATGCCCTAGCCAGAAGTTCTGCCTGGGTATGCATTTTTAATACTTCTGATACAGAGAGATAAATTGCCCTGCAGAAAGATTATAACAATCCGTGCTCCTATAAATAGTATATGAGAGGGCCAATTTCCTCAGTTTTTCCAAGATTGGATAATAGCATTAAATAAATCTCTCATAATTTATAGGTAAAAATTGTACACACTATGGGCTTAATTTAAATCTCTCTAATTATTATTACTTCAAGGATCTGACTTGAGAATAGGGTGAGATGATACTGAAAATGTTAAAATTCCTTGGATGTAAAAATTTTCTATAGAAATATGACTGTCTTTCCATACTTACAGTTTGACCACAAACTAAAATAGTTCCCACAAATCCTTGTGTTCAAGAGGCTTAGGATAAGCCCAGAAAGATCCCTGATTTGTATAGGGAGAACTCAGCATTTAGTGCATGTATCATACCCACCGTTGGGGAATATTAGTGATGATATTCCAGCAAATCAAGATTAGAATAATTTTTCAGTAAATGCAGAAACTGCAAGGTTTTGTAGGAAATCAGGGCAGGGGGCAAACTCAACTCCACCTGATAGCTCAGTGTTTGCAGACCAGTTCTGAGAGAGATTTAATAGATGAGAGTATCAAGACAATATTTCTATGCCAGTGTCCTAAGACATTCTAGGAATGACTTATGAATGATGGAAAGGTGTTCCTCTCAAGGGAACAGGAAGATAGAGGGGAAATCCATGGAAAGCTATGAAAGCTAGGGGATGAGGCACGGACTTTTTCTCTTTATAATATAATACATATTCATTGTAGAAAAGGTAAAAAATTCAAATATGCAAAAGAGCACAGCTTTTACTCATAGTCTTCATCACTCAAAGATAACAATTGTTATAAGTTTGCATATATCCTTCTTGGTTTTATGTATGAGAAAGAGAAAGAGAGGAAGAAATATTTTGTAATCCATATGAGTTTGTTTGTTTGTCTTAAACTCTGGCACTTCTTTTTAGCCCCTCAGTTGGGAGAAGAGACTGCCAAGGAGAATTCAAACAGCAGAACCTGAGCAAAGACACTGGGTCAATTTTTAAAGGCCATGAGCTAAGAAGCTGATGAAAATTCATCTACAGTTAGATAATGGGACTTTTAATACCTGGGAAGATAGTATCAATACCTGTTGCATGAGGGGAGAGGTGAAGATGAAGAACCATGTGGGTAGACTTCTCAGCCAACCTGTGGTGATGTATCAGTTTTAAATTTCCAATCCATCCTAGACTGAAGCTTTTGTGAAATACAAAAGAAAAAAATTATACTTTGGATGTCACAGCAATTTGAAATTGCTGTAAATTACTCTAAATTTCTGTATTTATTGCAGACTGATAATAAACAGCTTGCAGACCAGCATGGATCCCACGTTGGGGAGATCTGCACTAAAATACTTGTCTTGTTATAACAACAATCTAGATATTAATGGGGTAAAGACAGTGGCATGCTAGTAAATGTTTAACAACTGGTTCTCTGGTGGGGAAGAAGCCCTGATTTGTGGCATTTGACAATGTCCATGGTGTAAATACTCCCAGCATGACAGATTTCAAGCTATGAAATTGAAGCCAGTGAGTGCAGAGTAGAAAGCACTGTGCACAAGCTGTCAGCAGCACACCACTGCATATAAAGAAACCTACAAATGGGTCTGTAGTTAATGGCAACCATCATTAAAAAACAACATATAAACTCTGAACTAGCAGAAGAAAACTCACCCTATCCAGTGGACAGTCAGATGGGAGGATAAAAAGAGACACGGTTCCTTTCCGTTGGAGTATTTCTAACATACAACCTTCCCCTTAAGGCAGAAGCCAAAACTCACTTTCCCAGCTTCCTCTGCAGCTGAGGTGCAGACATGTGACCTGGGCTCAGCCAGTCAGATGGCCTTCCCCTAGACTTCTTTCCAGAAGAGATCATGGTGAAGCCTTGTGTAAGATGTTGTGACAGAGAAGTCCAAATCTTGGCAAACAGCAGTGAAGGGAAACTAACTTCAGTTCCAAACCTCATTGGTGAGATCTGTAGCGTCTGTGGTGGGTGGTGGCTGCACTGATGGCAGTCCCAAGGTATGGTTTGAGGACTGACACCCTGAGCCTCCTTAAGAGTCTATGAAATTCCTAATAACCTTAATAGATCCCCTTTTCTGCTTAAACCATCAATAGTAGATTCTGATGTTTGCAACCAAGAATAATGATTGGTACACTTGCACCTCATTTTTAAAATAACCTATTTTTTGTTTCAGTATTTTGTTATGTTAATTCACATTCCATACAACTCACCTGTTTAGGTGTACAATTTAGAGATTTTTAGTAAATTCACAAAATTGTGCAACCACCACTATTAATTTCACATTTTTATCACCTCAAAAGAAACTACCCATTAGCATAACTCCCTGTATTCCGCCAACACCCAGTACCCCTGCCCCCAAGCCTTAGGCAACTACTAATCTACTCTTTGTGTCTATGTAGTTGTCTATTCTGGGAATTTCATATAAATGGAATCATAGGTTATGTGGTCTTTCAAGATTGGCTTTTTTCACTTAATTTCAAGTTTTCAAAGTTCATCTATGTTGTAGTATGTTTCAGTACTTCATCCTTTCTTATTGCTGAATAATATTCCATTGTATGAATTTACTTCATTTTATTTATCCATTCATCAGTTGATGTACATTTGAGTTGCTTCCCTTATCATGAATAATGCTGCTATGAACATTTGTGTACAGATTTGTTGGGGTTTTTTTTGTGTGTGTATCTGAACATATGTTTTCATTTCTCTTGGGTATACAACTAATATTAAAGTAGAATTATTGGGTCATATGATAACTGTATGTTTAATATTTTGAGGAATTGCCAGACTGGTTTTCAAAGCAGCTATACCATATTACAATTCCTCAATAGTA